GTGCCATTGTTTGTTTGGCATAAATTAAATTATTGCGCGCAATTTACAAGGATCAAATCATTGTTGCTATTTGTGTGTGTATGTGTGTTCGCATAATATGGCATATTCACATATATAATCATAGCTCTGCAGTTAAATGGGTGCGCGTGTGCTTGTTGTTGGGCAAGCGGTCATTCGTGCCACAAGCAAATGCATATAAATTAATAAAATTGATTTAAAACAATTTGACCACGACCGCAAAACCGCAAAAACAACTATAAATAAACGCAAATGATAATTGTCGGGAAAAAGCAAACAAAAACAACGCGCATTGCACTGTAATATGTGAGCATTTATATTTATATATGTATGTACATGCCGGGAAAATAGTAGTTTAGATTGCGGTTATTAATATTTAAACAAGAAAATGGTGGCAGCATTTTGGTGGTTAAAATGTGGTAGAATTTAGAAAAGTTAAGCCAAAAATAAAAAACTACAAAAAAATCTTCATACAAAAAATTGAATTTGATGGGTCAGTTTGTATGGCAGCTATATGTTAAAGTGGTCCGATCATAACAATATGTATGGAGACTGCAGCGCTGCCTTCAAAAATAGTTTATGGTAAACTTCGTGAAAATATCTTGTCCAATAAAAAAGTTTTCCATACAAGAAATTGATTTCGGTAGGTCAGTTTGCAGGGCAAGTGTATGCTATAGTGGTCCGATCTGAACTATATGTTCGGAGATTTTAACATTGTCTTGAAAAATAATTCATACAGAATTTCGTGAAGATATCTCATTATACAAAAAAGTTTTCTATATAAGCACTTAATTTCCAACGTTTAGTTTGTATGGCAAGTATATGCTATAGTGGTCCGATCTGAACTATACGTTCGGAGATTTTTACATTGTCTTGGAAAATAATCCTTACAGAATTTCGTGTACATATCTCACCATAAAAAGAAGTTTTCAATACACGAACTTGATTTTGATGGGTCAGTTTATATGGCAGCTATATGTTATAGTGGGCCGATTTGAACAATTTCTTCAGATTTTGTACCGTTGCCTTGGGCACTAATATATGACAAATTTCGTAAAGATATCTCATCAAATAAAAAATCTTTCCATATAAACACTTTCGAACGTTTAGTTTGTGGACAGCTTTCTTTGAGAAAAGCGCTTTGCATTTGAAATATTAAAACGCGGTTTCATATCTCACTTAAGGCATCGAAGAATGGTGAAGGATCAGAATACCTCAGTAACGAAACTGTGCTAAACGAACTGCAATAATAAAGCTTTTTTACGAACAACATGAGTTTGAAAATAAGGAATTAATCAGGCAAACCAATTGTCAACAAATCCTTTTCATTTTATACGCTAAATTTAAAGAGCTTCAAAAAGCATATGACTAAATAATCCCTTGCCTTGCTACGTGCAAATTATTGCTGAAGTAATATCAACGTCCAACGCTGCTCCAACGCCAACAAAAGGTCAACAGAAACTGTCAGAAAACCCAACATTTGTGGTTAGCATAAAATAAATCCACTATTTTTATTCCTCTGGGTCATTAAAGGCGCTCGTACAACACCTCCAAACATATGTATGTATATATGTGCGGGTGGAAAGTTTTTTGTCACAGCAGAAGCTGGAACTAACATGCGTACATACAGAGTTGCACAGGCCAGTGCGTTGACCGCAAAGTCCGGTGCGAAAGGGATAAAGGGTGAGGGATAAATTTGCAAGTGCCAAACTATAAAGGATAAAACTATATGGCTATAAAACTATGGGTGGTGGGAGTGTAGAGTTGCCTATAGCTACATACATATCAGCAATCACCAAGTGGCCGTTTTTGCGGCGTTGCGGTTAGTAGGCAATAAAATTTGATTGATGACGCGCTCTTTTTTATTTTTACATACATTTTTTAAACTAAATGCAAGAAAGAGAAGAGAGAGAAATGAGCTTTTAACGAGATTAAAAGTTATGACAAAGCAAATATGTACTTGAAAAAAATTTATAAATATTTTTTCTTGTATTATAATTTTTTATCTAGCTCAGTAAATTGTTAAATTCTCACACATAAATTTTTGCTCAGATTTTTTTTACGGAATCTCGCGCTTTGATAAAGTTAAATATTTTCCTCACAATTTTTTTATGGCGTGATAACACTCATTGCATTTCCAATAAATTGCTTAGCAAAGCATTGCATAAATTTTATGTTCCACATTTCCTCCCATTCGCACTTTCGCAGTTGCACAAACAGCAGTTAGCTTGTCATAAAATAACTCTGCAGCAGTTGAAGATGTATTTATGCATGTAACCTAGCCTATCTAGATGGAGACAAGGCGTAGTCGACTATATGCAACCGTTGAAAAGCACAAAAAGAAGAACCGGGTAGTACTAACCAAAAGTCATATAACTTTTAATAAATTAATAGCTAAATTTAAAAAAAATAGATTTGCAAACGAAAAAATATAAAAATAAAAATACAATATATTCAGGATTATATCATTAAGATTTTTTACTAAAAAAATTTTAAAAATAACAAATGTTACAAAAAAAAATATATTTAAATTTAATTTATTTAAATTTTAACAATTTTTATTATATATATATATATTATAACATATATTTTTAAATTAAATTAAATTTAAAAAAAATTAAATTAAATAAAAAACCGTTAACTTTGGCCTTCACCAAAGCTATATTACTCTTCGTAAGTGCATTTTTTATAATATTGGTCTTGAACTCGATAAGTTTATTTGGAAGTTACACGCTATAGTGGTCCGGTCTGAAAAAAATCTTCGGAAATTGTAGCTTTACCTTGAAATAAGTAATCTGCACCAAAAGTCATAAAGATACCTTGTCAAATGAAAAAAGTTTTCTATACGAAGACTTGAGTCCGATCGATCAGTTTGTATGACAGCTATACGCTTTAGTAGTCCGATCAGAAAAATTTCTTTGGAGATTATACAGTTGGCTTTGAAAATAATCTGAGCCAAATTTCGTGAAGATATCTTGTTAAATAAAAAAGCTTTCCATACAAGAACTTGAGTTGGATCGGTCAGTTTGGTTCTAAAATCCGAGGGACCAGTTCTCATATACATATATAGACGGACAGTGGACATTACTAAATTTACTCTGTAGTTCTAAATGATTTTGATTTAAATAAAATAAAGCAAATAATGCCATAGAAAAAACTAATTATTTATGTAATCATCGAAAGTAATATATTTTCTTTTGAGCTTACGCTTCCCCTCTTCCCAGGGCACTAAAACTCACCATGCAGAGAAATGTCGAAGTTGTAACTAACGACTTACTCGCGCTAAGCGGAAATAGACAACTTTGCGCCAATACTGCGCAGCACGGAACACTCCACACTCCACGCTTGACTGCAGTAAATGAAAGAGAGAAAAGCAATACTCAATTGTCGGGTGGCAATAAGCGCAGCATAAATATAATAAAAATCGGAAGTTAGTGGAATATTTTTTGTTTTTAATTAAATTTCCGCTACTTGCAGTTGAATCCGCTTAACGGCGTTTAATTAAAAAGTTGCTTAGCATTTGCGCTTTTGCTGCTTCGCCTTTTAAGTAACAACGACGACGACAGGCATGCCAATAATGCACGAAAGGAGCAAAGCAACAGGAATACGCGCGCTAAGCGACTAACAATCAATGATGTGGAAAAGCGTGTTGAGTTGTAGCAATGATCAGAAACGGAAGTAAAGCGTAATTAAAAGAAGAAGAAAAAATGTACAAAATTTCGTGTTTGTAGAGAAATCGGTTCTTGGTAGCAGTTACTTGACTTTTTGCAGCTACTGTAGGTGGAATTGCAAAAAAAGTATTTGAAGTAGATAAACAAGTTGTAGTAGCAATATTTTTATCAAGTGCTTTAAAAAACTTAAAAAAAAAAAGTTAAAAAAAAAAACATTAAAAATTCTTATTAGAAAATCTGGCAACAGTCAACTTAGGAAATACAGAATTTTTTACATATTTCAACTTTAAGAAAATATTTTTTGAGTCAAAATATATCCACTTAAAACCCCAAAAGTCTGTGCAAACTTTACTGTTTTGAATTTTAGGCGATCGTCAGTATCGATAGCGTCGAGAAAAGTTCTATGTTTCTATAAATCTTGATGGAAAGGAAACTTCGCAATCAAGATTTTTCAATCTGGCAGTGCTATATTCTTCCACTATTATTTTTCTATCTATTTGATTCTCTACTTTTCCTTACAATTAATAATTTCTAATTCAATCGACAGAACCCAAAGGGTTTACAAATATGCTATTTTTGTATAAAGCAAGGGTGTGAAACTTTACTAAAGAAAAATTTCGTATTTAGTTTTTCATATTTAATTTTTCTTTTCCTTACTATAAACTATTTCCAGTTCGATCTCTAAAACCAAGGACATTTATAACGTGCCTAGTTTTCTATCAATCAAGGTTGCGAAACTTAAGTCAGTTTTAAGAAGCTTCAATCAGCAAGGCTAGTCTTTCTTTCTAATATTATTTTTCTTTTTCTATTATTAACTTTTCCTTACTGTAACTGATTTCCAGTTCGATCGCCAGAACCTAAAGGGTATAGAACTTGTTTACTTTCCTTTCTATTAATCAAAAGTGTGAAACTTGACTAAAGGAAAATTTCGGTTCTAAGAAGCTTCAATCTGGCCACATCGTTATCTCTTATTATCTGTAGTAACTCAAATGTCGTACGAACGCAAGATTTCCAATGAATCAAAAGTAAGAAATTTTACTACAGAAAAAGTCGGATTTAAGAAGTTGCAGCTACTCTCTCTCTTTCTCTTTCAGTTATTTCTTTCTCTATTTTTTTATTTTCTCTTATTGGGCCATTCCATCTACATAATTTTCCCTGTTTGAGCATATAAGAGACAATACTATAAGTTTGAATCCTTCTTTCTCTCCCATTTAGTCTTAAGTTTAACATCATTTTATATCTATATTCAAATCTCTCACGTTTCTTCTCTCAATATAATATTAAATCATATTTATTATTTTCTCTTTACAGAGTTTGGGTATACTCGCCTCTATACCTGCCGGTCTACTCATATTATCGCTCTTCGGTTTGTTGTTATATCTGTTAACGCGTTGCTGTGATCGTAAGCCACGGAAACCGAGCGCACAGCGTTGCCAGAGTTGCACATTAGTCGTAATTACGTTGATGACATGTGCGGCCATTGGTTTGGGTGAGTAAAAAATATTATAAGAAAAAAAAACAAATACTGAAAAGCGCAGAACACTAACATAAAATATCGATAATCAATAAAGAGAGCAGTACAGCTTATGCGGAAATAGTAGCTCACAGACCGGCATCTTTTTATACTAAATAATTTGATATTCAACACCTTTCAACAGTGCAAAAATTGTTATTTAATTACAAATATATTCTACGAAGCGTCTTAAGTACTAAATGGAGGACTGTTTTCTTTCAACTTTGGCATATAGAGGGCGCTCATACGCAATAACATGTAACTAGTACCAGAGATGATTTACGACTAAAAAAAACTAATACAAATTTCAACATTTACGAGTACCATGTCATTTTTTACATATTTCGTTCATTCGATTTTTGGGTTTTGAAATTCTCAAATGGTTCAACACAAATTTTTTTTTTTTTTTTGGAATTTAATACTTAGCATACAATAAGGAGAAACTTAAATTCGTAGCATACAATAAGGCGTAAACAACTTAATAACCTAAGTCCGTCTTTGTTACATAACATATTAAAGCCCAAACTACCATATCTGGATCTACAATTAATGCTCATATTTCTTTAATTCAAAAGAAGGGAAACTATTTTTATCTTTTTCTATTTTATTATTTCTCCCTACGTTAACTTGAATACCTTCTTCTACCACATGCACCCTACTAAAAATATGTCATGTGAAAGATAAGATTTTCATTGGATAATTGCCAGCGCAAATATTTGGTAGATGGCACATTGCAGCAACAACAAAAACTATTTTCGTGAAAACATTGTAAATAAAAATATAAAAACAATTCGGTGCACATAAATATAAACTAAATGTGACCGAAAAGACAATTGAGAAGAATGCGAGCGCAAAAAGAAAGCAGAAAAAACTCAGGAAAAAGTAAAAATAAAAAACCAAAATAAATTGAAAAGGTAAAAATAAAAGGGAGTGCACAAAAATATCCACCAAAAATAGTAGAGTCACTAGGTTAGATATAAACAAAACTGCGTTAGCTGTGCGCAACAACAAATTCTACAATTCAACTCGCCAGAAAAAAGTGAAAATAAAAAACAAAAACGCACATAAATCCACACAAAGTAAGACCAGCCTCTCGTGCACTTAGTATAGAGGTTAACGACTGTTTTTCTGTCATTGTTAGTTGCTGTTGTTGCCGGGTTTACCATTTTTTACTACCTTTTCTACGCTTCTCTTTCACCTTTTACTTTCTCGCTTCAAGTATTTAGCTCAGTTTTTTTGTTTTGCGCTTCATAGTTTGACAATTTTATCGCCACTCCCACATCTTGCACGTGTGCGTGTGTGTGTGTGTGTGTACGAAGTCATTATTTTCCTGTGTTTTCTCATGCGTTTTTATCAGATAAATGAAAAGAGAAGTTTTTTGTAGCATACTTTAGAGCGCATAGCCAACTAGTGCTGCTGCGTTGGTAAGATTTACTGTTACTCTACGCTGAATTTGTGTGCTTTAAGTTGGCGCAGAAACATTGCATACTTTTAGGCGCTGTAGCAAATTTATTTCCATCAATATGTATATTTTGCCTATATTTAGGCGAATTGATTATTTTCTTTAATTCATTTGCTTCCTTACCAAAACGTATTGGAATAGCAATCATTATACTATACTCGAAAAACTTAAAATTTCCTAAGTCTCAGGCATAACGGTAGACAAACCGTTATATTTCGTACATATGTGCCTGACTGTAAAATAAATTGCTCTTGCGGCTTTCTTTGACTTTTCTCATAGCAAATGCATTTAATTGACGATAATTAATAGCAGACAATTTATTTACAATTAAACTTTTGACATTTGCTTGTGCCGACATGCATAATTGGTGTGCAATTATTGCGACAACAACAACAATAAGTAGTAGGATATGCAAGCCAAGCGGCATTTAGCGTTCAATTGATGAATACTCAATATGATATGGAGAAAAGGTAAAAAACAACGTTAGAGAAAAGCTTAAATAACTTAAAAACGGAAATTTTTTGGGTTAAAAAATAAAACAAAATTAAATATAAACAAAAATTTAAAAATAAAAAAAAA